CGTCGTCGTCGTCGGCGTCGTCATCGTCGTCGTCGTTGTCGTCGTCGTCGTCGTCGGCGTCGGCGTCGTCGTCGTCGTCGGTGTCGTCGTCGTCGTCGTCGTTGTCGGCGTCGTCGAAGTCGCTGGAGACGTCGCCAGTGTCGTCGTAGTCGTTGTCGGCGGCGTCGTCGTCGATGTCGCTGTCGTCGTCGGCGTCGCTGTCGTTGGCAAGTGCCATTTGGTACCCACCGTCGCGGCCTCGAGAGATTTTGCGAACCAAGTTGCGGGTGGGTGGGCGGGGTGTTCGCGCGAGCAGTGGAGTGGTCAAGCGCGGTGCAGGGTAGTCAATTCCCTACCTAGGCTCTGCCTGGAAGGGCTCTTACTCTCTATCTTAAAGGGGCCCGGCAGTGGACCCCGCACCGGGCGGTTCCCCCGGCCCCCTGGGAGCGGTTCCCCCAGTCCCCTGGGAGCTTTAGCTTTAGCTCTAGCTTAGCTTTAGCATTAGCTTAACTTTAGCTGAGCTTTGGCTAAGCTTTGGCTTAGCTTTAACTTAGCTTTATCCTAGCTTTAGCGCAGCTTTAGCTAAGCTTCAGCTCAGCCTTAGCTCAGCCAGCGGCGATGGCGACAACGGCGACGGCAAAGCCAGTGGCGGCGCAGCTGCTGATCACGCCGGCGACGATGACGGCGCCCTCGCGTCGGCGACGAAGGTCCGCGCGAGTGGCCGGCGCCGCGCATTCGACGCGGATCGCGCCCCCCCGGCCCCGACGCGCGCGCAGAGGCGTTCGAATAATTCCGACGTGCGGCGCGAGGGGCCCGCTTGGCCGAGCTTTGGCTTAGCTTTGGCTTGGCTTTAATTTAGCTTTATCTTAGCTTTAGCTTAGCTTTAGCTAAGCTTCAGCTTAGCCTTAGCTTAGCTTCAGCTGAGCTTTAGCTTAGCTTTAGCTTAGCTTTAACTTAGCTTTAGCTTAGCTTTAGCTTAGCTTTACCTTAGCTTCAGCTGAGCTTCAGCTTAGCTGTAGCTTAGCTTCAGCTTAGTTTTAGCTTAGCTCTAGCTTAGTTTTAGCTTAGCTTTAGCTTGGCTTGAGCTTAGCTTTAACTTAGCTGTAGCTCAGCTTCAGCTCAGCTTGAGCTCAGCTGTAGCTCAGCTGTAGCTCAGCTTTACCTTAGCTTTAGCTTAGCTTTAGCTTAGCCCCAGCTTAACTTCAGCTTAGCTTCAGCATAGCTTTTCTGTGACTACTCATGCTGCCTTCCCAGGGACTCCAACTCCTATGTAGGGTCGCACTAGTTGCCCACTCCACAGCTCGCGCAATCACCCCGCCCACCGCCCCGCAAGTGCGACGAGTGCCGGGCGTTGGTTGGCGCATCTCCGCGGCCGCGCCAGGCCGCGCATGCCGTCGCGCGCAGCGGCCAGACTGTTTGGCGCGACCGACGCGGCAGCGGCGGCGCTGGCCGCGGGGCAATCAGCGCGAATCGGCGCCTTGGCCGGGCGCGGCAACACGGCGACGTCGGCAACGGCGGGCGCGATTATGATTGTGGCGATGCCAGTGGCGATGGCGACAACGGCGACGGCAAAACCAGCGGCGGCGCAGCTGCTGACCACGCCGGCGACGATGACGGCGCCCTCGCGTCGGCGACGAAGGTCCGCGCGAGTGGCCGGCGTCGCGCATTCGACGCGGATCGCGCCCCCCCCCGGCCCCGACGCGCGCGCAGGGGCGCTCGAATAATTCCGACGTGCGGCGCGAGGGGCCCGCTTGGCAGAATGCGACGGACACGCTTAACAAACTCGTGATTTTTCTTTCGCAAGGGTTCGCAGGGGCGCATGCGCAGTCGCGTCTGAACGCTGGCATTGCAGAACCTCCCGGGGAGCTCGCGTGTAGAAATTACACGGGAACCAGAGTTCGCAAAAGATTTCGTCGCGCGCGACGACGCGCGCGCACGCTTCGCCCCCAACGTCTGCAAGGGACTCCTGCGACAGCGCGCCGGCGAGGGCGCGCGAGCGATTTCGACGCGCGCGCGCGAGGGGCCCGCGTGGCATATAGATGGGGACATGTTAAAAACCTCATGGGTTTCTCAAAAATTTGCAAGGGCCCGAGCGCAAGCAGTTTCTGAACACTGTTCTGCGAAACAAAATGTGCCTATATGTTTTCGGCGCATTCGGCGTCGAAATCAGCGCGCGCCCTAAACTTTCGGAAACACATCGGCATGCGATAGCAAAGGCGCGCGCGCGTCGTCTCGCTGTTTGCGCCGGGACCTTGGTAACAAGTGATTGTTTGATAAGCCAATGCGCGCGCATCATATTTTTGGCAAGCGATGAGGGGGGGCGATGCTGGCGTGGATGGGATGGTGCGAGTTTATATTTAGGATGGGCGATGGGGCAGAATCACACGTAAATTGCACTGCGAAAGGGGGGCCTGTTAAGTCCGGGGCGGACTAGGTCCCAATGCGCTCTTAGAATAAACAATATACGCGGTGCGCGGCCACTGCGGCGCCACGCATGCGGAGCAAACTACGCGGTGCAATTTTTACAGACGCGCCAGCAACTTCCACGCCCTTGCAAACATCCCACCCAACCACCCGCAAATTGGTTTGCTAAACCCATGCGGCGGCGATTGCGACGAGTGCTTGGCGTTGGCTGGCGCCTCTCTGCGGCCGCGCTAGACCGCCCGTGCTCGCGCGCGCAGCGGCCAGAGAGTTTGGCGCGACCAACGCGGCCGCGGCGGCGCTGACCGCTGGGCGCTTCCCAGCGGGCACTTCAGTCCGAGTCGGCGACTTGGGCGGCCGCGGTACCATGGCAACGCCGACAGCGGTAGACGCGATTATGAGGGCGACGACGACGCTGGTGACTATGGCGGCGGCGACGACGGCAGAGCGGATGACGGTCCCGATGTTGATCGCGCCCGCCGGCAACGCTGACGACGCCCTCGCGTCGGCGATATTTGTTTGCTGTAAAACAAATTCGACATGCGCGCGGACCGACGCGCGCGAGTGGGCCGCGCGGTGGTATTCGACGCGGATCGCCCCCCCCCCCCCCAGAACACGCGCTGGGGCGCGAACGTGAGAGGCGCGCTTGGCAGAATTTCATGGACATGTGAACAAATTCGCCGGAGCGCGAACGCAGTCAATTTTGAAAATTGGGTTTACAAAACCTGATATTCGCACGTGTTCGGGATTTGTTTGGAAAGCCCTGTGCGACCTATGGTATCAAAAGATTCCAGCATGCGCGCGCGACGACGCGCGCGTTCGCACGTCATTCCGCTTGTTGCAAAGGGTTCTTGCGACAATACGCGCACAAAGGCATTCGAGCGATGTCGACATGCGCGCGCGACGACGCGCGCGCGTGCGCACGTCGTTCCGTTCGTTGCTTTGTTGTAAGGGGTTCTTGCGACAGCACGCGCACAATGGCATTCGAACGGCTTCGACACGCGCGCGTGACGAAGTCCGTTCGGTAGCATGTTAAATATTGAGAAACCGTTGGTGTTCTTACGAATTCGCAGGGGCGCGGGCCAAGGCCTTTTCGGAAAACCCGCGTTGTGAAACCGTGGGTTTAAACATGTATTGTGACTCTCGAATGTGTAAAGAGATGTACGAACGACTCGTTTATTTATAAATTCTGGCATGCGCGCGCCACGTCGCGCGCGCGTGCACTTCGCCCCGTTTGTTGCAAGGGATTTGTTTGACAACCCCTGATGTTTGATACGCGGGTGTGCGCGCGTAGATTTTTTTGCGAAGGATAAAAGGGGGGTCCGAACTCCGGCTTGGTTGGGATGGTGTGAAATCATTGGGGGAATAAGCCAGGAGGCAGAATCACATGTAAATTCCATGCGCGAGGCCCGCTCGATAAGCCTGGGGGGCGATGGGGGTATAATATTACTCTTTAAGAAAAAGAGGATCTATGTGGCGGCGACGGGGCGGGGACGGCGACAACATCGCCGCCAGACCGACCCCCAGGCCCAGGCGACGACGGGAGAGCGACGGCGACAACATAGCCGCCAGACCGACCCTCAGGCTCAGACGACGGGCGGCGACGAAGCGGCCACGGGGCGGCGACGGCGGCTACATAGCCGCCAGGCCAGCAGCCAGGCCCAGACGACGGGCAGCGACGAGGCGGCGTCGGGGCGGCGACGGCGGTTAATTACAAAGCCGCCAGACCAACAGCCAGGCCCAGTACCCTAGACCATCAGTAAGGAACCCCAAGTGCGAGCACTATTTTGGGAAAGTGTGAAAAAAACACTTTTGCCGTCCACCTGAAATCTGCCTGAGGTACCCAAATACTTCTGTGGGTCCCCAAGGCCTTCGGGGGATCACAGAATTTACAATTCTGTGGGACGCCTGCTGGCAGGTGGTTTCTTGTTCGATGCGCCTGCTGTGTCTCGTTTGGTTGCCGCTACTTGCCTGGTTGTGCGGCAAGCCTGATCCAAAACTCCTCATCCGTACGCAAGGTCAATCAGCATCGAATCGGGCTGCATCGGCACGGAGTCGGAGTCGAACCGGATCGGCCGCTCCAGGATGCACAACAGCGCCGTGCAAGCACCGGGTCGCTCTGGATCGTCGCAACATCGGAATCGAATCGGATCGGGCCGGGCTGAATCGTCTTGGATCGGAACGGACCCAATACTGGCTGCCGAAGTAGCAGCCGGCGGCGCCGGGACCTGGCTCTTCAAGCCGCCCGCTCCCAGCCGAACACAAGCCTGGCGGGCGAGTCGCACCACGAGGGGTGCGGACACAGACCCTCGACGCCTGGCGGCGGTCGCAGGGGCGGGAGCGGAAACAGGAGGCGGCGGCGGCGGCCATGCCGGCGGCCGCGCCAGCGGCTGAGACGGCCGCGGCGGCGGCGGCCGCGCGGAGGCCGCGAGGGCGGCGACGGCGGCCATGTCGGCGGCGGCGGCCGCCGCGGGCGGCAGCCGGCGGCCGGCGGGCGGCGGCGTGGCCCACCACACCCCGCGCCGCGGCGACCCCGCAGCGGCGTCCGCGTCGCAACAGCGGGGCCGCTTCGGGGGCGGCTCCGCCGCGGCCGCGCCCGCAGCGCCCGCCTCCGGCGCCGCCCGCGCGGCGGCCTCGTCCGGCTCCGGCGCGCCGGCCTCCGGCGGCGCCGGCGCGGCGCGTCGCCAGCGCCATGGCCGCTCGCCGCAGGTCGCCGCCAGCGCCGCCAGCCCGCCGTTGACAGCGTCGTCACCGGTCGTCTTCCTGCTCCTCCTCCTCCTCCTCCTCCTCTCCTCCTCGTCCTCTTCCCCCTCATCTTCCTCGTGTCACATCTCTCCTCCTCCTCCTCCTCATCCTCATCCTCCTCCTCTTCCGTTTTCCTCCTCCTCCTCCTCTTCCTCCTCCTCCTCCTTTTTATCTTCCTCGTGCCACATTCCTCCTCCTCCTCCTCCTCCTCCTCCTCCTCCTCCATGTTCCTCCATGTTCTTCCCTCGCTGCCTCTCCGTGACTCGTTGTCCCTCGTCCTGATCGTCCGGGGCGTCCTCCGTCCTCCCGCTCCTCCACTTCCACCGCCTGCTCCCGCTGCCACTGCTGCTATCGCTCTTGCTCCGGCCGTCTGGTCTTGCGAGCGCCCAATCCAGCTCTTGATCCTGCTCCAGCTCGTGCTGCTGCTTCTGCTTCTCATCATGTTTCCCCTTCCCCTCTTCCACATCCACTCGTCAGAGGAGTAGCATGGGCATACGGGATTGATAGAATGAGAAAGGGCATCATAAGGAAATGTGCAACTGTGGGACGGTCGATGACGTGCCAACGAATGGACAACATGAATCCAGATTTATCGGGTAGTCGTAGTGCGCAAAGTGAACTGACTATTCGCGTTCGCGCGGGCAGATCGATTTTGCAACCCTCCAGGACTCAGCGCTAACCTCTCTGATGGGGTCAAGGCATCTACTCACCAATAGCGTGCCTAGACACGGCCATCTTGGGGCGTAAGATTGACCTCAGCCAGGAGGGTCGTTGTACCATCGTGGCGCCCAGAAGAACCCTGGATTGGTCATGCACAATGGTGGCATCTTGAATGCCTCCCGCAGCGTCTTCCTCTGCATGAATCCCACCTGCCCTTTCTAGGGCGTAGGTGGATCAACGAGTTTTGCCTTCTCTCACCCTCCTTCCCCTACCCCCTTCCCCTGGGCCTGGGAGGTGGGGGGGGTGGGAAGCTGTTACGTAGAGTTTGAAGATGGTTCCAAGAGGGCCCTCGGCAGCCCAAGACGGCCTCCAACATGGCTCAAAGTAGCCGAAGATGGTTCAACATAGCCTCCTACATACCTCCAAGAGGCCCCAAGACAGCCCCAGGACGGTTCCATGTGCCCCTGTCGCATTCCCTAGGCACCCTCCACGAAGCCAACATCCTTCAAACACCTGCGGACCATGATTGTGTTTTGCCTTCTCGCTTCTTCGTTTCCGATGGGCTTTGGGGGCGTCAAAATGGCCCCAAGGCGGCCCACAAGAATAACACAAAGGGCCCAATAATCTCCCAAAAACGGCCCCAATAGCGCCCGAGAGCGCTCCAGGAGCGGCCCAAGGCGGCCCCCGAAGGGGGGGCGCCTGAATTGGTTACACCCCCCCCCTTTTTGAGCCATGGAGCCCAAGAGGACTCCCAGACCCCTCCAATGAGCCCCAAGACGGCCGCCGAAAACAATTAACCCCAAGAGGGCCCCAAGAGGCCCCACGGGAACCCTAAGAGACCCCGTAAGATGGCCGTGGTCGCCCCTCAAAAACCTTCTGCAGCAACATATCTCCAAAACCAGATGTTTCATCCTCGTTGTCATCGTCTGTGCCTTCCCTCCTTTCATGCCTCCTTTCTCCTCCTCCTCCTCCTCCTCTTCCTCCTCCTCCTCGTCATCACCATCCTCGTTCCGCGTTCCTCCTCCTCCTCCTCCTCCTCTTTTTCCGCCTCCTCCTCCTCCTCCTCCTCCTCCTCCTCCTCCTCCTCTCTGTTTCCTCCTTCTTTTTCCCCTCTTCCTCCTCTTCCTCCTCCTCCTCCTCTCCTCCTCCTCCTCCTCCTCCTCCCTCTTCCTCCTCCTCCTCCTCCTCCTCCTCCTCCTCCTCCTCCTCCTCCTCCTCCTTTTCCTCCTCTTCCCCCCAAGATGATCCCAGAAGGTCGACTCTGGCTGAAGATGCACTCCGAAAAAAACCACCAAGGGCTATGTATAACAAACAACCACAATATGCCAAGATAACCGAGCATGGCCCGGCATTGCCTCCGACAGCCTCTAGCCGATCGTGGCTCAAGATGGCCTCCAGGAAGAGTCCAACAAGCCTCCGACCATGTCTCGATGGTCTGTCTGGCGGGGATATCGTTCCCCGTCGCGGCCGCAAGCGGAAGCGCAGGCGGCGTCCAAAGTCAGTCTAGGCAACGAGCCAAACCTAATTACCTAAGCGCGCGAATTGACGGCCGCCGAAACTGCCGCCGAAGGGCGCCGAGGTCTGCTGGGGATGTTTTTTTGTCGCAGCTGCAGGCCAAGGGGTCCGACAGCGTCAGCGGAGCTAGCTCGGGCTACGAGTAACTTAGTTGCTGGCGCGAGCGCGCGCCGAACTAGGCAGGCAAACCACCCGGCGGGGATGCTTCTTTGTTCGCGAGCGACGCAGAGCAACTGCGCGCCGTCAAGAAGCGAAGCAACAGCGCTGCTATCTAAATTACGACCTAAGAGAAAGCCGAACACGCGCAGCTAAATAGCGGCGGGCAAAAATGCAGACGGAGCGGCGGCGGCGAACAACGCTGCAGCTCAGACGACGAGAACACCGAAGTCCAGGAGGTTCGAGTCGTCGCCGGCGAGGAACAGGCGAGGCCAGGGAGCAGGCCAAAAGGCTGTGAATTCGCGAATAACCACACTGCAGCGGCGTCACTCAACGGCCTCGTCGAACGTCTCTGCAGCAACCCACGCAACCAGCACGCGTTGCCGCGGCCCCCGTCAACGTGGGCGCGCAGCCGTCGATGGGAGGTCGGGCCCGGCGCCAGGGGGGGCGCCCTCCATCCAGGGAGCGCCCGGTCGGCGAAGCCCTGGCCGCGAAAGAGACGCACCTCGTAGCGAATCCTGGCCCGCGAAGGAGGGGTTGCATCCAGCGGAGGCCATGGCGCGAGAGCCCGTCCAACCACGTGACCATCTGAAGCGGCACCTGCCGGCGCCGGCACCGGCGCCCCCGGGGGGCGCCGAGGGCCGAGGAGATGGGCCAGCGGAGGCAGGGGGCGACGGGGGCCGAGGGCCGCGATCGCACTGCGGGCGGGCCCGGGCACCTCCTGCGGGGGGGCAGCCGCGGGGGGGGCGACGGGCATGGGGGGGCCAAGAAAGCGACTAACCGTCGCGCAAGCCTGGAACCACGGGGCGAAGGAACGCGAGGGACGGGGGCGCGGGGGCGGGCGGAGGGCGGGGGTGGGGGCGCAGCTAACAGCCGCAGAAACTGCGAAGTATCCGAAGGGGGCAAGGAGGCGGGCGGGGGGCGGGCGGGGGGATGCAGCAGACAGCCGCAGTCAAGGCGACGCACCGAAGGGGGCGGGGGGCAGGGGGCAGGGGAGGCAGCCAGAAGAGGGGCGCGTCGGCTACGCGAGGGTGGCGGGGGTGGAGGGCCCGAGACTGGCATGGCGCAGTGGCGGGTGCCAGCCGCCAGGGCAAGTGGTTTGCGGAGCGGTGGGCGGCCTCCGGTTGCTGGGAGGGGCGCCGAGTGCCAGGCGCCGTCCAGGGAGACGCTGCGTTGGGCAGCGCAACGCTGCTAGTGCCACGAAGGCCCCAACAACGCTGGAGGTCCGCAGGGGAGAGGGCCAGCCCACGGGTTCGACCGCGGCGTGCCAGGGGGGGGCGGCAGTCATCCAGGGCCGGGGGGGGCGGCCGCGCAGCGAGGACCCGGAAGGAACACGCGAGTGCCTGGGGCGAGCAAGCAGCCCCAGCTGGGCGCGCCCAGGGCGGCATTAGGCGCGCCGCAGGCGTGGTGCGCAGGAGGAGCCAACCGGGCGCGCTCGCGCGGCGGGGCGTTGGCGCTACCATCAGCGCCACTGATGATGCACAGCGCGGGGCACCACTGGCCTGGGGCGCACGCCTGGCGCGCCTGCGCCCGCGGGGGCCTCGACAGGGTCTTAGGGGTGCACCCGGGGCCGGCACGAGCTCGAGGATCGCAAGGGCCCCCCCCGCCCCCGTCCTCGACCAGCTGGAACCATTGCCCTCTCGATCCCTTGCCTTTGGATTTGCCTGGGGGGCCCTTGCCCTTGCCCCCGCCGTTGAACCGCGTGGACCGCAGGCCAGTCGACGCCCAGGCGGAGCGCAGCGCCCATCTTCGTGGCGCGGCAGTCGTGACGGGTCCACTCTTTGAGGAAACGCAGGCATGATTCGGGCTCCTGCTTAGTGGGGTCGGCACAAATGCGGCCGGACTCGGCGGGGTGCCCGGTCGTCCACTGGCGCCGTGCCCCGTTGAAGTACCCCCCGAAGTCCCTCCGGAGTCTCTTCGCGGTCTCGGCCCGGGTCTCGTCAGGGGGGCGGTGAGACTGATCCGCTCCAGAGGAGTTATGTAGATGCGAAGGCCAGTGACAGGGTCCGTCAGGTTCTGTGAAGGGCCAACTTGCGCGCTCGCGCAGGAAGGCCACGGGCCGGACCAAGGGGCTGGGAGGTTATCGGGGACAGGGGGGGGGGCGTGGGCGCGCGCCGTCCGACCCCGGCGGTCGCCGGCCTCCCAGCTGGACCAGCCTGACCATCCTGGCCAGTTGCCGCCGCGGGGGCCGCTGCGGCTGGCCTCGCGATGCCGACGCGGGCGGCGCTCGCCCCAGCCCTCGCCCCAGTCGCAATGCTCCCGCGCCGCCTTGCCCGCCCAAGGCTGCCGGGGGATGCTGGGGGATGGCGGGGTCCTGCGATCAGGGGGGCGAGTGAGCTTTCTGTCATCTTGTCCTGCCAGAACTGGGGGGGCGCTAGGATTGCCAGAACGGGATGCGGGGCTGCAGGGCCTGTCCGTCGCACCGGGACTGACGGGGGAGTCGACCTGCGGCGCCGGCGGTTCCGAGCTGGGGGTCGGGGGCAGGGCGCGGGGGCCCCTATTCGGCCCCGAGGGGGCACGGGCCTGCCGTCTTGCGAGCCAGCCGACGAGGCGTTGGAAGCAGCGTCTCCGATGGCAGCAG